GATAGCTACATAAATAATCATTAAAATAAGAAATAAAATATTAGAAAATATAAATATAGCTACATTAATTGATCATTAAATAACTTTTTTGTTTGTAAAAAAAGTGTCCACCATGGCACCTTGTAAATTCTCCAAATGCTTATGTGGCAACAAACTACTTTTGAATTGCTATAATATTATGTATAGATAGATAGATAGATAGATAGATAGATAGATGTCACTCTCCAAACATAAGTATACTCTGCTACATATATATATTGAAAAATACAATTATTGAATAAAAAAACATTAAAAGAAGGTAGAGATAGCTACATAAATGATCATTAAAATAAGAAAGAAAATATTAAAAAATGTAAATATAGCTACATTAATTGATGATTAACTAACTTTTTTGTTTGTAAAAAAAGTGTCTACCATGGCACCTTGTAAATTCTCCAAATGCTTATGTGGCAACAAACTACTTTTGAATTGCTATAATATTATGTATAGATAGATAGATAGATAGATAGATAGAAGATAGATAGATGAAGCCTCAACTATGCAAATTACAGTTGGATACCTAAACTTAATAGATCTTTAGATTTATACACTAATTTTTTTTTGGCATATAAGTCCTCAAAATATTTATGGAACATTACATTTAGTATCTAATTTTTTTTATGTATTACATCTTAGTACCTTAATATTTAAAGTTCTACAAATAGGTTTAATTTTTGTATGTGTAATTAAAACACCCTTGAATAAATGGGTATCCATAACCAACTCATACACATTTAGGTTATGAAAGTAAATATTCATACCCTACCCAAACACATGTCACAATTCTGATATCAATGTTAAGAGGTTACCTTCGACCAACGCCCAACGGGCCGGGTATAAGCTAGTATTTTATTAAATCGGTATAAACCAGTTGTATTCCAGTCATGATTGTCACGCCGGCCGGCGTGCCACTGGTTGAACCTGGTTCAACCTGTACCGGTCATAAAACCGGTATGACACCACCGGTATGACCGGCATGATCGATATACGAATCTCTAAGTAAAATGATCTTATATTAGTGAATTTATTTGATAAAAAGTAATTTATTATTTATTTTATGTGTTAAAAAGTTAAATGTTGATGTTATTTGTTGGACTCAAGTACAAATCAACAGTATAATTTATAGCTGAAAAGTAAAACTGCCACCCCCATTCAAATTTTCCTGTCCATAGAGTGATTTTAGGAAGCTGATGTGGCAGGGTGTTGAGCGGGAAAAAATAGAACTCCCCGCCAGATTGCAGAACTAAAAATCGTCCACTACCCACCTTTTTCTCCTGGTTTCCCACGTTATCATTTATTTTTCATTTAATTTTCGTTTGGCTGAAATACCACCTTTTCTACTGGGTTCCCACGTTATCCTTTCGCCTACCCGCAGGACAGGAGGAGAATCAGTTTCCATCGGAAAATCCTGGTAAGAGGGCGTCACGGTTTCGTGTTCAGCGGAGGAAGGCGCTGACGGCCGGCTGTTGCTGAGTTCATGAGAAGACGACCAGACGTTTTGGTGGTCAGTGGCGGAAAGCAGTGACGGCCCGCTTCTGCTGCGACTGAGGAGATCGCGTTTGGGAGTGCAGCGAACGATCTCCGTGGCGAAGAGGTTGTCGACGATCGAGGCTTTCCCTTCCGGCGAGAAGCACAACTACTGCCGCCGCCACCACCGTCTCCCCCGCCGCCACCACCGTCTCCCCCGCCGCCACGAACCCTGCTTCTTCTTTCTTCTCTGCTTCAACCTCTAGAAGGTCGCTACAAATCGCTCCAGCTACTCGCATCCGTTGAGGAGCCATCGCCGCTGGGCTCGACGCAGCTGCTGCGGCCACCGCCGCCATCAGCGAAGCGCTCATCATCCCCTTCTTCTCCCACCCGCTGCCGTTTCTTCCGTTTCCTTCCACCGAGCACTTCACCACTCTCCCTCTCTTCGCCATCGACGGCAGCCCTGCATATCACCCAATCGATTCAATTTCTTGGTTCCCCCAAGTTGAATTGATAAAAGCCAGAGGTAATTGTGAATTTCAAGGGAGGGGGGCGTCAAGAGTACTCACCGAGAACTGGGGCGGAGGAAACCCCTAGAGAGGGGTTGCGACGGAGAGATGCATGGATGAAGGAAGAAGCTGTGGTTGTGGCGGAGATGGACGCCATTTTTCACACTCTGACCCTGGGAAGGAAGGAAGGAAGGAAGGGATTAGGATGGTAGCTGGTTCTGTGAGAAACTACTGGAAGTAGTGAGCTTTGCAGAGGTGATATAATTTGCACAGCTTAATACTGACCATAGAATTTGCCCCCATCACAAAGTTCCATGCTAAGTTACTCTCCTTATTGGATCTTTTAGTTGTGTATAATTCTTGGTTTCGTGATATGGTATTGGAGATATGAGCAGGTGAGGTTTGGAACGGACCAGAGCATTAGCAGCAGTTGGTTGTGAGATGGTATGTGTAAAATGGAATCATGGTAATTACTTGGCTCTACTCATATAGGTAGGCTATATTTGAACCTCAAGGGAAGAATTCTCTTGCCACTTTTTAAGCTTTTTGTTTAGGTTTCCAACGTCAATGTGTGTGCCTGCTTTATGTCAACATAATCAAGCTTAATTGAAAGCAATACTTCCCACTTTGTTCACTCAATTTTTCTGTGTTTCACGGCTTTCTTATCTAACTTTTTTGTTTCTAAATTGCCTCTATTTTTGGATATAACTTGCAGTTTAGGCTATGTAATCGACAACTAATGATTTAATCCATGACCTTCGGAAGAACGGTTTGAGTTTACATTTTCCTTATGTCATTAGTTCTTATAAGTAATTTGTTGAGTTCTTATGCTAATGTACGGTCTCTTTTTTCTTTTTTTTCCTTTAGTAGTTTGGTCCAAGAAATCAGGTGATCATTAATTTTTTTCTTTAAGATCACTAGGTTCATCGATTTAGTTTGCCAATCAAGCATTTAACCTTCGTTTAGTTGCTAATTGAGAGCGTAAGATCATTTGTATAATAATAGTACATGCCTCCGATATTGTGTTAAGATGGAACTGAAATGAGTTGGATGTAATGTCTTTGTTTGGTCCACTTTTATTCAGTGTTCAAGAAGACGCGATTAATCTCTCGCCTAGGCGCGATTAATAGCTGGGCAGGAGGAAATCGCCCAGTCTAGCTCTGGGCGATTGATCTAGGCACCTGGGCACTCGGAGACGCGTTTTCACTTTGGTGGGCGACGCCCAAAACAACTAATAAAGGGGAAATTGTAGCCTTTTTGTGAAAATCCCCAACCCTATTCTATTTCCCCTTTCCACCCGCTCTGTAGCCTCCCCGAGAACCTGCCCAATCCTCCTGGAAGATTGATCAATCTGCACTCGCATTTGCCGGATTTGGTAGGCTAACTGGGTTGTCGGCGCCAATAGTCTCTCGAAGGCCCAGAGGTTTCTATTTTTCCATAGTTGCCAACAGAAAGTAGCGAAGAGAAATGCGTCTATCGGTCTATGATATTAATAGTCATCTTTATCACTATGCTTTTCATTTTATTTGTTGCTTCTAATTATAATGATCAACAGATAAGTCAATAAAATATGTGATCGCGTTGACCTATGAATCAATTTGGAATTGTGCAAGTTGTTGAAAATAAACACTATTTCAAGAGACATTGTTTTATGCAGGTATAACAGCTCCATTCTCTACTAGCAAAAGCAAAGTCGATCATTTGCCTGGAGGGAGGGAAACATCTTTGGGAATCTTCTTGAAATTCCCCGACTTTTATTGTTGATCATCTGACCTTCCAAAAATAGCGATGAGCTAAAAGCCGAGCACAAAGCTAAGAACAAATTTATGGGCACACAAATTTTTGACAAAAAAGTTTTTATTTGTTGGTGGTACATATTTGTTATAAATTTTTAGAATCTTTCAAATGACATAGTAGACAAATCTATAAGTGTTGACTTTTAGATATCAAAGGCAACACCAAAATCAATTATAAAAAATCCATATTGATTTCCTAAAATCATGAATCTTTTTCAGAAACTTAATTTTCACAACAAATGATTGTATGTTTGAACTATAGAGTGCCTTATTTAATTAAAATTTTGAAGAAATAATTGGAATATTTCAGATATGTCCATTATAATACAATTGTACTATCCGTATACATTAATGTTAGCTATTAACAACCACAACTGCTTTTGGAGATATATATTATTTAAAAGTGAATTATTAGTTAATAATTTTGTATTTTCTCAATTAGTACCTAATGGTTGTCGACCATAAAATTTGAATCCTTTATTTGATAAATTTTTATCCCTCCAAATTACTAATAGGGAAAATCCCTTGGAGTTTATAATTAATACTTCAATGCTTAATTATTTTATTTTCATGGATATAATAGAAAAATAAGTGAATAATATCAAATTTTATGAAGAAATATTTTTTAAGTAATTTATTCTAACAATAGGAAGTGATTTTTTTCTTAAATGTAAAAAATATATAGACAACAGTAAGCGATAGCATGATCAATACAAATACTTATAAACTAACTAATGTTACAATCAATAATTCGCACAAATATTAGTTTCAAGTTTCAACCCACTAATAAATTATTTAGACGATCCCAAATTATTTGAAAATATGAAAAAATAGATTAATATAAAAATATAATAAATAAAACTAAATTCATCCGACCAACGGGTCGGGTAAAAAGCTAGTATTTAGGTATTGACGTTAAATGTCGTGCTTAAATATGAGTATTTGTAAATTATTTGTAATATTAACCGGCATGAACCGGCACAAACCGGTATGTACCACCGGTCGAACCATTCCACTTGCTAAACCGCCACACTGGCACAAACCGCAAACCGGTTTGACAACCTTGATTCCAGTATAAACATACAATTTACTAAACCGGCACGGTATAAACCGGTTGGCCATCTTTGTAAGAGAACAGACCGAATCGCTGAACCGGACCATCTCCATATTTCCTTTCTTCTCCAAGTCCTCTCTACGGATGCTCCCATAAACCTCTTCTCAACCCTTCCTTTCGTTCTTCAGCTCTCAGCAGTCTCACTCACTGCTGTAACTATGTCACTATTCTAGACTTCGAGGAATGACTCATCAAAGCCTTCTCTCCATTGGATTTTCATTTGCTGGAATTTCTTCTCTTAAACCTTTCCTATGGCTTCCATTTCCCTCTCAAGTCTGTCTTTCTCTCGCTTATCCGCACCTCACCCAACTTCTTCTTCCCCGACCAAACGCAGAATCAGGATAAAAAGCTTCCCCTCCAGGAGACCATTCAGAATCACGACCAGAACCCTTCCATTGTTGAATAGCAAATGTCGAGCACTTAGCTTTCAGGGCTCTAAGCCTGTCGATGACGACCATCCCTCTCAACCGCAAACTACTAACTCGGAAGAGCGGAAACGACCAGCTTTATCATCTGGGAATGTTCTCCGGGGCGAAAGAAGTATAATTCGGAGCATTGCGAGACCTGTAGCATATGTATTGTTCTGCATTGTTGCTGGGTTTCTTCAGGCTCGTGGATTGCCTGCATCTGCAGTTGTTGCTCCTCCCGCTGCGGCGGAGGAAGCTAGGTTGGAGAAGAAGGGCAAAGAACTTGACGACGATGAATCTAATTGGAAGGGGCACGAGTATTCGGATTATACCAAAACTTTGCTCAAGGAAGTTTCTGGGCTGTTGACTTGCGTAGAGGAGGTAAGGAAGGGAATTCGGGATGTCGACGAATTGACGGCGGCTTTGGTGGTGGTGAAGGATAAGAAAGAGCACCTGCAGAATGAAATAATGGAGAAGATGTTTACGGAGCTGAAGGAGTTGAAGAGAGAGAAGGAGAGTCTGGGAGACCGGCTGGATGAGATTGTTGATGAGGCTCAGAGGCTGAGGGGAGAGTACGAGGATTTACGGGCGCTGAGTGAGAAAGAGAGGATGGATGAGTTGGGAACGAGAATGGGAGAGGTAGAGGAGGAATATAGTGAAGCTTGGGAGAAGATTGCGGATATTGAGAATGCAATTCTGAGGACAGAGACAATGGCGATGAGTTTTGGGGTAAGGGAGCTTTGTTTTATTGACAGGGAGTGTGAAGAGCTGGTGAAGACGATTATACAGGAAATGAGGCAACGTCCAGATAGGTAAACATAAAAAAGCTAGTCCATTTTGGTATTTTTCAAGATGCTTTGCATGAATGGTGGCATTTGATATTTAATCATCGCAAAGGAGTAGATAGGGTTTATGGAGAACAAGTATTTCGGACAATTTTCATTGGTATGTGAGACATTAGGCTGGCTCAACTACTGAAACCTGATAGTTATTATGGGATAATCTTGGAGAAGTTTGATAAACTTGTGAGTTTTTAAGATATTGCTTTAGTCGAGGACCATGCTACTGGTGGAGCTTGTTTTTCTTTCGAAAAGAAAAGTGGAATTTTGCTTGATTTGGACATTGCATGTTGCTTCGGCTTAGATTCCATGTTTGCAGTGTGCTCATGAATGTTTAAGTACTTACGGGGGGTGGATCTTTTCATGTGGTTGTAGTTTGCAAAGTAGCTCTATTACCAAGCTTTCAAGGTCTAAAATTCAGAAAGAACTCGAAATTGCACAGAGGAAGCTTCTGGAACAAATGATTCTGCCTCAAGTTGTGGAAGTTGAAGGTGTTGGTCCTTTATTTGGTAATGACTTGTTAGATTTTGCTGAACATGTGAAACAAGGCCTTACCCAGTCGAGGAAGCTACAGAGGTCTCTGGAGGCAAGAATAAGAAAAACAATGAGGAGGTTTGGTGATGAGAAGCATTTAGTGGTGAAGACATCAGAAGATGAAGTTGTGAAGGGTTTCCCAGAACTTGAATCGAAGTGGATGTTTGGAAAAAAGGAGGTCGTTGTTCCGAAAGCCATACGCCTCCGTTTGTACCATGGTTGGAAGAAATGGCGTGAAGAGGCCAAGGCAGACCTGAAAAGGAAGTTGCTGGAGGATGTCGACTTTGGAAAACGTTATGTGGCTGAGAAACAGGTACAATTTGTACATAGCTGAGTGGTAGAGTAGTAACAAATCTGGCAATTTCTTGCCTGCTAGCGACTTTTGGATGACAAATATTTTCATGTGGTCAGGGACTGATATGTCACTGCCACTGGTCAATAATTTAGATGTTCATGGGGTAGCCTTATGAATTGGTCTGTGTAATATTAACCATTTTGTTGGTGATGATTTCAGGAACGTATTCTTTTGGATCGAGATAGAGTAATCTCAAAGACTTGGTACAATGAAGATAAAAAACAGTGGGAAATGGACCCTGTAGCAGTTCCATATGCTGTCTCAAAGAAACTAGTCGAGCATGCTCGAATCAGGCATGATTGGGGTGCCATGTACATTGCCCTGAAAGGAGATGAAAAGGAATATTACATCGATGTCAAGGTTACATATGTCTATATTGCCAATTAATTTCTCTGTGGCCAAGTTTTGCCCCACTCTTGACCTTGATATCTGCCGTGCAGGAATTTGAGATGCTATATCAAGATTTCGGAGGGTTTGATGGGCTGTATATGAAAATGCTTGCCTGCGACATTCCAACTACTGTACATTTGATGTGGATCCCTTTATCAGAGTTGGATTTCCATCAACAATTTCTTTTGGCAGCAAGACTGGCTCGCCAATGCTTTGTTGCACTCTGGAAGAGTAGAAACATATCCAGTGTGAGAGAGTGGCTATCAGAGAAAATTCACAATATCAACGATGACATAATGATGGCAATTATTTTTCCACTGATAGAGTTCGTCATTCCTTACCCGGTACTTAGGTCACCTCCTCATTACGCCTTAATGCCAATTACGGCTGCTCATAAGTGTTTATTTTGAAGTTTTTGTTTCATTTGTGTCATGTTTATTGAAGGTAAGGATCCGCTTGGGGATGGCTTGGCCAGAGGAAATAGACCAAACTGCTGGCTCAACTTGGTACTTGAAATGGCAGTCTGAGGCGGAAATGAATTCCAAGTCCAGGAATACTGAGGATTTTCAGTGGTATTTTTGGTTTTGCATTAGAACTGTTATATATGGATACGTTCTGCTCCATCTTTTCCGCTTTTTGAGAAGGAAACTTCCTGGGCTTCTTGGCTTTGGACCATTACGAAGAAATCCAAATTTGTGGAAGTTGCGGAGAGTGGTAACCTTTTCCATCTACTTTCTTGGCTGTATTTAATCATTGTTTGCCCCCTCATTTTGTGCATACCCTTAGGATAGACCAATTGATCCCTTGCACAGGTCATTGCTGACGTCTTCTATTAATTCTTAGTGGAAGTCTGTTTTGTTGACAGTAGGTGGAAACTTACTATTACTGATTTTTCGATCTTTCATTTGTGATTTTTGGTAGAGAGCCTATGTTCATTCGAAAATAAGGAGAATTAAAGACAAGAAAAAGGCTGGAGTGGATCCTATTAGAACTGCTTTTGACCAAATGAAGGTTTGTACTTTGATACCAAAACTGTCCTTTCACCTGTCAGTTAGGAAAATCTGGTCATCAAAATGAGTGAAGGCTTATGCTAACATCTGTTTCTGGTCCAGAGGGTGAAGAATCCTCCAATTCCCTTGAAGAGATTTGCCAGCATTGAGTCTATGAGAGAAGAAATTAATGAAGTAGTAGCTTTTCTGAGAAATCCTGCTGCATTCCAGGAAATGGGTGCCCGTGCTCCTCGGGTATGTCGCTATAACGTGTTCTCTATATAATTACATGTCTTATTGTGCTCATCGAGCCTGTCCGGCTTGTGAGTTAATGCATTGCTGCTTTGCAGGGAGTTCTTATTGTTGGGGATAGGGGAACTGGTAAAACATCATTAGCTCTGGCTATTGCTGCTGAAGCTAGGGTGCCTGTTGTTCAAGTTGAGGCCCAGCAACTAGAGGCTGGACTATGGGTTGGCCAAAGCGCATCAAATGTCCGAGAACTGTTTCAAACAGCTAGAGATTTGGTTGTCCATTAACCCTAAATTGATCTACTATTTATTTTAATTATCAGTCTAAGCTCTGTGAATTCCCTGTTTGGCAGAGCACCTATTTTTAACTTGCATTTTTTTCATTACTTTATACTGGTAGAAGGAAATCTGGTCATTATTGATTTCAGAATCTCCGAAAGAATCATTGTAACCAGGCTCACACTAGTCATCCTAGGTTAAGTTGGGTCACATGTAAATCTCTCTCTCTTCTAGATTTATAATCAGGCTTATGTATCCTTTACATTTTTAGATGATCATTGTGCTCAAGATTTCTAAAATTCTCAGATGCTTGTATCTTCTGTCTTCTATACTTGGTTAAACTATGGGTCCTTTTAGCCGCTTTGTCTAGTTGGCCTAATGATGTTAAGAAATGCAGATAACTTCTTTTTACAGTCGTTATAAGAAAAAGCTTTATAATTTGTGATTCTTTCCATCTAACTGAAATTGTAATTTTTAGGCACCAGTAATCATCTTCGTAGAGGATTTTGACCTTTTTGCCGGTGTTCGTGGCAAGTTTATACACACCAAGAAACAGGATCACGAGGCTTTCATTAATCAGCTTCTGGTGGAACTTGACGGGTAACTTTCTTCTGCATTTTCCATCTTTATGGACCTACAACATGTGAAAGAGATGTCACTAGACTAACTGGCATTTATGTATGCTGCCAAACCAATCAGCAGCCATTGTGCCAACTGGTGGAACTCTAAGCTAGATGTTCTAGTTTTAGTGGCATGTGGTAGAAGCGGTATCCTAAATAAGGTAGTTAAAATAAATCCATTGATATATCTACTTGATATAAATTTACGATTGTCTAGGTTTGAGAAACAAGATGGGGTGGTTTTGATGGCGACAACTAGAAACATCAAGCAAATCGATGAAGCATTGCAGAGGCCTGGTCGAATGGATAGAGTGTTTTATCTACAACGGCCAACTCAAGCAGAAAGAGAGAAGATCTTACACACTGCTGCAAAGGAAACTATGGATGAAGAACTCATTGACTTTGTGGACTGGAGTAAGGTACTTAATTTTGTTTATATCTCGTGTTGTCATGCTTGAGAGCAATGGCGAAGGAGATGTGTACACTTATAAAGATACCAACAGACCAAGTTGCTCTATGCCACTTGAAGATTGGTATTTAGCCATTCTACCTTTTGTTTTGATTGGTATATAATGTCTAAAAAAATGTGTTGAACTTATTAGGTGGCTCAAACCCCCATCTAACTGCTGCTTACTTGAGCTGTTGAAACTTGGATCAACTTCAGTTCTGAATTATGCTTCACTTAGATGACCTCCCGATTGGACATTTTTCATTGTGGTTAGGTTGCTGAGAAGACAGCCCTTCTACGGCCAACAGAATTGAAACTTGTCCCTGTTGCTCTTGAAGGTAGCGCCTTCAGAAACAAGTTTCTGGACACAGATGAACTAATGAGCTATTGTAGTTGGTTTGCGGTAAGGGAGAAAATTTGGCTCCAAAACCAGTAAATATGTATTTTCGACTTAATCTGTTTACGTGTAAAGTTCTTTCTTGCCATCAATACCATGAATCTTTATTTGCTTACAACTATATTAGTTGAGTGTTAAATGGCTGTGTAGTTGAAATCGAATGAGACCTTTTAAGCTATGTTTACATTTGGTATTCTTTCTTGTTATTATTCGTCAAGATGTGGCATTGCCATCCAGTTTTTTCTAACGAACTTCATTATCTGTGTGCTTCTTTGCTCTTATAGACATTCAGTACAATTACTCCTCAATGGGTTAGAAAAACCGCAATTGTTAAGAAGATGTCCAGAATGCTTGTGAATCATTTAGGACTTGAATTGACGAGGGAGGATCTGCAGAGTGTTGTTGAGCTAATGGAGCCATATGGTCAGATAAGCAATGGAATGGAGCTTTTGAATCCTCCAATTGATGTAAGAAACTATAGTTTAGTTTTCAACAGCTTCATTACTTCTGGCTGCAGATAAGTAACTGCAGCAAGCCAGAGCTTTCGCTGTGTGTTCTTGAACTAATTAGTGAGATAAATAACAGTGGACGAAGGATACCAAGTTCCCACATGCTGTTTGGGCTGCTGGTCGTGGTCTTATGGCGGCTTTGTTACCCAACTTTGATGCTGTGGATAATTTGTGGCTGGAGCCGTCTTCCTGGCAGGTCAGTTATTCTAGATTTGCATAAAATAGAGAAGCTGGAAGAATTTCAATCTGTTGTCCTTTGTCAGGGTATTGGATGCACAAAAATCAGCAAAGCCAGAAATGAGGGTTCCCTGAGCGGGAGCATGGAGTCCAGAACATACCTTGAGAAGAAGCTTGTATTTTGTTTTGGTTCTTACATGGCGTCCCGACTGCTACTTCCATTAGGGGAAGAAAATTTTCTCTCTGCTTCTGAACTGAAACAAGCTCAAGAGGTCAGTATTAGTTAGTCATCAACGCTCCTTTCATCTTATAATATCTTTCCAATTATTCATGGTTAGTTGATAACTCATTTGGTCACCAGATCGCTACAAGGATGGTGATCCAGTATGGTTGGGGGCCTGATGACAGTCCCGCAGTTTACTATACAACCAATGCGGTATTTCCATCTCTTTTGACACAATAGGCTGATTGGGTGAATGAAAAAACAAAACTGTTGTCCAATTGCTTTTAAGAGGGTATGTTCAATTGGTAGAAAGTTCAGAAAATAGCATGCAAGATTGGTTTTGGAAGATGCACTATGTGGAATGATTAGCAGTAACTTGTGTATGGTCATTCCCAAAAGCAAAAGGAAAGGGCATCATCACATGTGCTCTTTGTTGTCTGTCTTCTAATGGTTCCAAGCTCTGTGTTTTTTCGTTTTCATATTTTGATGTTTAATATCTTTCTTACTGGTCTAGGTTACTTCTTTAAGCATGGGCAATGATCATGAGCACGTGATGGCAGCTAAAGTTGAAAAGGTAGGTAGAGTTTACTCTGCATTAGAGAAGTATGGAGACAGTGTAGTAACTCAGTGTCCTCGATGATTTGATATCTTGCCAGATGTATGATCTTGCATATTTGAAGGCAAAGGAGATGCTGCAGCAGAATCGTCAAGTTCTTGAGAAGATTGTTGATGAATTACTTGAATTTGAGATCTTGACTGGCAAGGTACAGAACTGATCTCCTAAATGACCTTGATTTAGTTGCCTTACTATGTTATTGATAAGAACTTGATGCTCTTAGCAATCATTTTCTCTTGTCATGACTGTTGTGTGTTAAGTGATTGTCGAACGAATTGAAATTTGAAGTTTCCTTTCTGCTTGGTTTCACAGGATTTAGAAAGGATAATTGAAGAGAATGGTGGGATTCGGGAGAAAGAGCCCTTTTCCCTTTTAGAGGCTTATCTTAGAGAGGTATTCTCCGAACACTCTTCTTCAATTAAAGTTCTACGGGAAAGTCTTTCACTTGCTTCTTGACTTTGCAATCTTGAAAGGGAGGTTTACTTAACTGATGACAATTAAACAAAGAATGCTCTGTTTCGACCCTCCAATTCATTGAATCACTGCTCAAATGTTAAAATCGAAACATGGGGGTGGGATTCTTTAAAGCTTGTGGTGCACTCTTGTGATAGGGAAATACTCCTGTTAAAAATGTGTTGATTTACTAGGATGACAAGCAGAAAATGTCTGAGGTTTAGTAGTAACTAAAAAGAAAATTGGAAGATCTTGGGAAATAAGTTGACTATTTCAGCTGATACATCTCAGGAAGCAAATAGAGTTAAAATTAATGTGTAGCTTCTTCGGTATATATTGCTTAGAAAGGATATTCTCGATTTTGTAGTTTCTTGCAGATGCTGTTACTTCCTGCCACATTTCAGACCAGCTTGCAGTTTTTAAAATTCTTTTATGTTTTTTTTTAATTTTGACTCATCTCTTCATTAATCTTTTCCCCCTTGTTTCAGCCTGTGTCTAGCAGCTTTCTTGAAGTTAGCAATGGGCCTGGACCTGCTCTGTTAGGTTCTTCCTAGGATGAAGAGAGCACCCAATTTTCTGGACTATGAAGGTTGTGCAAGTTACTGCTCATCGCAACTATATAAGATCTCCTCTCTTTATATTCACGCAGAAGATGAAACAAACTTGTTCTTGAAGTGAGTAGTGTTGGTTTAGAAGAGGTTCCATTTTTCCTTCTCAATCTATGGTCAAAACTCCATTAAGATTTGGGACAGAATTAGATTTATAAGTTTCTTGTTGTATATCTGTCTTTTGAAAGTCTCCAAAGAAATATATATAGTGTTTGTCACTCTGTATTATGCTTTGGTTACTTGTAATGGTTTCTGAATCAATACGCTGAGAAAACTGCAGAATTGCATGCCCATTTGCAGCAGCAACACAGGATATAACTTCCAAATGTTCTAGTGCAGGTTCATATTTGAGAGTTTGACATTGAATCAGAACTAGGTTCATCTTGATATTTCTGTTCATGAAATTGTTTTATGAGAATAGAGACACACTATATATATTTTGGCAGGCATTGGATATTGTAAATACTACATCATGTTATGCTGCACTAGATGGTGGATCAAATTACATATCTGAAAAAACATAGCGGCATTTACTGGCAGCCATAAGAGGTAACAATTGGGTGAGAGAATGATTTACAGAAACTAGAGTTGACAGAAAATACAGCAGCAAGAGGTGATTCTTGCACCTACAGGAGGCCGATAACAGGTGAGTTGCTAAAAACTGGTTTATCTTTCGTAGAGTTATGTGTTCCATTTTGACAAATGCTTTTCCTTCTTGGCTTTGCCTCTCCAAGCATTGTTATGACATCCCTCATGGATGGTCGCTCCTTAGGGAGCTTTGCTGTGCAAAGAATCGCAATTCGTAGTACCAGAAGCATCTCTTCCTGCACAAGTTTGCATTGTCCTACTATGCTAGTGTCAAGTGCTTCTTCCAATGGTTTATTGTTTCTCATCTTGGTTCTGATCCACTCCACAATATCAACAGATTCTCCGAATGTAGGTTCTAGAGGCATTTTCCCAGTCAGGAGTTCCAAAAGCACAACTCCGAAGCTGTATATGTCGCTCTTCTCATCGACCTTCAGAGTGTATCCGTATTCTGTCACGGGAAAAATAAGTATCAATAAGGGTGCTTGTTGGTTCGCTGTATCTGTAAATTGTTATTTGTGCCAAATGCATGCTATTATCTGCTACAGGAAAAATGAAAACCGCCAATGGTGTGTTTGGTTTGGTATTGTAAATTATGTTTGTTTCAATTGCATATGCTATTATGTAAGGCGCAATTGAAAAACATTGTATGGGTCAGCCCCAGGAGATTATGTCAGATGAAAAACATGTGAGACCCACTTTGTTACAGTGCATTTGCAGATAATATACCAAACCAAACACACCAATGCATTTTAGATACTTCTTGCCCCAATTTGAGATTGTATTTACTTAAATGCGCCCAAATATATCATATGTGCTGCATGCTATTGCAAACGACTCTCCCAAATACAGCAACTAAACGACCTCTAAGTGAAATGTGAAAAAAGCAGTTAATATGATGGAGTGATGAGCTGCTTACCAGGTGCAATATAGCCGTAAGATCCAGCCACCATCGACACTGTCTCATTCTTATGAGCCATTACTCTTGCCAACCCGAAGTCTGCTATTCTCGCCTCAAGATTAGCATTGAGCAGGATATTGTTAGACTTGATGTCGCGGTGGATGATTTGAGGGTGACAATCATGATGGAGGTAGTGTAGCCCCTGTGCAACTCCAAATGCTATGTTATACCTTGAGACCCAGTCCACCAGCAACCTTTCATCTTCTTTACCATGCAAAGCTGTTCCAAGGTTTCCATTTGGCATGTACTCATAAATCATCATGACATCTTTTTGATTGTGCAGGTACCCTAGCAGCCTCACAATGTTTCGGTGCCGGAGCCTCCCGAGGAGGCTAACCTCTCCAAACAGATCATCATCACCATTTTCAATGTCTGGTTCAGTTCTCCAGAGCTTCTTCACTGCCACTACTCCATGTGGCCTGTGAACTTCAGCTTTGTAAACGATACCTGATCCACCCATGCCGACAATGTTTGTTTCTTTTATACTTGCGAGAATGTCATTGCTGGTGAAGCTCAGCCTCTGGAATGCCACTAATGTCCATGGCCATTCTCTGCTGCTTTTGTTGAAGTAATCATCAACAAAACTGTTGCACAGGTACCACCTTCTGTAAACCCATCTCCCTGTGAAGAATGTCATGCCAAGACATAGAATTACCGTGATTCCAACAAGGAGTCCGAAGAGAATGTGGTGGATGTGGAGATTTTGCGGTTTCCTTGAGGTTGAAGGCATTGAAGGACACGGCAGAAGCACGCCGCCACAAAGGCCAGGGTTGCCTATGAGGTCACTAGGGTTTATTGCAGCAAACAAACCGTTGGAGGGAACTGGACCTTGGAGCTGGTTGTGTGATACATTGATCATTTCCAGGGCAGGCGAGCTTCCAAGGCTTGGTGGGATATGACCGGTCAGAGAATTATTTGACAGGTCAAGAATGGCTAAAGTGCGCATTGTGGCGATTGCATGTGGGATTTCTCCACTGAACTGGTTTCCCCTGAGCTTCAAAGTCACCAGCTTTTCACACGAAGCAATGCTTTGCGGGAGGTTTCCAGAGAAATGGTTGGCGGAGAGATCAAGGACCGAAAGGGATGGGCAGTCCTGGAATTGGTCTGGTATCTTGCCCTGGAAGCTGTTGCCGGAGGCCATGAATGTCTGAAGTGTCGGAACGGAGAGGATGTTGTAAGGAAGAGAGGAATCGAGATGGTTTCCAGAGACATCAAAGAAGTTGAGTGAAGTGGATAAAGAAAGGTCGTCCGGAATTTCACCAGTGAGGTTGTTTTGGGCCAATTCCAGTCGCTGAAGCTGTGGGAGGGTACCAAACCCAACTGGAATTGCCCAAGAGAGAAGATTGTTGTGCATCCTGACTCGAACCAGTGACTTGCAAGTCGAGAGGCTCATTGGGATGGAACCAGAGAATGCGTTGTTGAAGAGTATGAGCTTGGTGAGATTCCCTGACTCACATAGACCGAGCGGAATCTCACCGGACAACGAGTTAGACGACACATCTAGCCACTGCAGAGGCGAGTTATGCCCGAGATTCATTGGCAATGAACCTGTGAAAGAGTTCTTCCACAGCTCGAGTACCTGCAATTTAGTCAGGTTCCCGAGCTGGCTTGGGACTGGACCAGTGAGCTGGTTTCGCATCACATTCAACAGCTCCAGATTCTTGAGCCCAGCGATCTCCACAGGTAGCTCTCCTGAAATCTGGTTATCAGATAGATCCAACATTGTGAGTGATTGAATGCTGCCAAGTTCTGGTGGGATCTTCCCGGTGAAATTGTTCCCGTACAGAAACACAGTTGTAAGTTTCTCCAGCTTGCCTAATTCAGCTGGAATCTGACCGCTGAGACTGCCAACAGCTAAATCTAGATACTGAAGATTGGTAAGATTGCCAATCTCTGCAGGGATTTCGCCTTCAAACTCATTGTAACCCAAGATTATCGTCTCCAGAGAAGACAGCTGGTCAATCTCCTTCGGGATGTTTCCAGTCAGGTTATTACCAGAAAGGCCAAGAAACTTGAGCTTCTGCAGATTCCTGAAAGATCCAGGAATCGACCCTTCGAAGAAGCTCCCTCGAAAATCCAGGCTTTGCAGCAATGTTGCATTGCCGAGATCCGCTGGGAGAAACCCTGAGAAGTTGTTGCTAGAAGCATTGACCAAGGTCAACCCTGGAGCCATTCCAAGGCCAGTAGGGAACTTGCCAATGAAGTTGTTCATACTGAAGTCAACAGTCCTCAGTGAAGTGAGATTCCCCAAAGTTTCCGGCAAGGCTGAGGTGAACCCATTGTTGAAGACAGAGAGGTAAGATAGACTCCTCAGCTCTTGAATGTGATCCGAGATGCTGCCACTGAGGTTCATGTTCGAAAGGTCAAGCTTCTCCACAAGACCATTGGCATTGCAACTTAAACCGGTCCAGTTGCAGTGGCTCCCAGAATCCAACCTCCAATCAGCGAGCTGGTTCGATGAATCGACCAGGCTCGATTTCATTGCGAGAAGAGCCGACACCTCCACCTCCACCACATTGTGCTGGACACCCAGTGCTCCATGGGTTATTACAATGGCTAGCGAGCAGCAGCCAATGAAACAGTAGTGGAAGAAGACCAGCAACTTGGTGGCTTCCATTTCTGGGTTGTCTCTCTCGCTTTCTTACTTGAGATGGGTTCTGGGTTGTTTTTGCTTCTAGTTCTCAGGCATTGCCGAAAAGGGAAGGTCGGCAAAGGACCAGAAGAAGGCGACAGGAAGCGAATGGAAGGTGCTCTTTGAGAGAAGAAATGGGAGGGAGTTATTTCAAGACAGACAATGTTAGAGAACAGATAGAATTATACTGCAAGAATGTGGTGATTGGGTGATTAGTTTAGTTTACGTGGGTTCTTGGGATCTTAAACAGCTAAGCTAATGAAGTGGTTCAATCAGTGAACTGTAAAGCCATTTGGAGGTATTGGAAATGTAGGGGACATTCAAACATGGGAGGGGAATGTGTTCCTTATTATCATTTTAAAAATTTTGCAGCCCAAGTTTCATTTGGCTGATTATAAAATCTTTGCAGGGATGATGGTCAGGTCAAACCTGTGGAGGTGAACTTTTGTACCCTCATTCCTTGTTATTTATTTATTACCTTTCACTGACCAATTGGGATTTGCATTTCTGTCAGTTCTCTGACTTCTGTTAACAAAGTTTATGTTTACTCTATAGATCTTTGACATCTGAGCGGGTTGTAAACGAGAATTGTCTTTCTGGGTATTGATCGTAATTTCGACCTGACCCGATTTACCCGATCTGTTTGGCCTGTTTAGAGGCAGGTCGGACTTGCTACGTAGGCGAGGCCGAGCGGGCATGAGTACCTCTCATCGACCCGACCTGCTCTGACCTGACCCGTCCCATTCTCGACCCGTTCTTGCCTAAATTACATGTAATCTTAGTAAAATTACTTGTGATTTTCCTCTTATTACATTATATTTTAGCTATAATAAAGTTGTAAATAAGTGAAAACATCAATTTCTTCAATAATTTAACTACATTTTATCGTCTTATGGTTTATTTTTTGGTCTTTTAGTGAAACTAACGAATAATTCTAATGGTTTTCGCATAAATTACGTACCCATTGGGTCGACCTGCTCCGACCCGCGCTCCGTGATAAATTACCCTACCTGGACCCGACCTGCCATGGGGCGGGTATGGGTATCGAGAAACCCGCCTCGGACCTGCCCCATTGCCATTCCGAATGGCAATGGTGCGGGGCGGGGCGGGTACCTCAATACCCATGTCCCGTCCCATGCTATTGCGGGCCGGGGTGAGTAAAACTCGGGTGGGTACAGGGCGGGACGGGTCGATCCACTCTTACTTGATATTTGAAAAAAACACAAGCAAATTTGACTTCTTACGATAAACGAATGAGAAAACACTTTATCAATGAAATATAATGATAAGAAAATGGGTAGTTAGTCTAATAAGTTGAAATATCGATTCTAACTAGATGAAGAAAAATCAAAATATGAGAAATATGTATAGATATGGTAAGAAATTGAGATAAAATGGGCAAAAAACAGGGCGGAGCGGAAGTAGATACCCATGACTCTCGCCCCACGATACTGCGGGTCGGGCAATACCCGCCCCTTTGCGGATCATGTCGGATAATACCGGCGGGACGGGTTGAAATTGATCACTATTTCTGGGGTTGGGATAAGATAACATCTGGCCAATAGCAGCATTAAAAGTCTCTTCTCTTCTCATAGTATTGGATGTTTGAGAGGTCCCAATAATCGTAGAAATAGAATCTGTGAACAGGCCGGCCTTCATGTTAGAAGTTTCCAAGGACATATAATAGATTTGACAACAAGCAACTTTATGGACGAAAAGCAATACCTAACAAGAGTTTGCCTCATCTAGGGCTATCTATTACTCGCTTGCTTTTTTTGAAAAGAAATTTTACTTGCTTTTGCTTACCTAAAATCCTAATTGGGATCGTGACCTATAGAACTATGATTAAAACTTGCTAGTATCAAGTCTGATTATCGGAGAACCATTCAAGATCATGGATTTTAACTAGAATCATTTATGAACAATTTTGGACGAAATTACAAAACTAGAAATTTTGCGTATTCACACAAAAAAAAAAAAAAAAAACATAGAAACTAGAAATTTTGCGTTGATTTTAACTAACTTTATGTAACCTTACAATTAATTGAATATAATTAGACTCTCAAGCTACGTATAACATTGCATATCGATTCATTCGAACTCGAACATTCCATTACTAAATTATATCATGCTGACTTGATAGAACTATAAGTTCATTGGTCTCCATCACGCAACATTATTATGTAATTGATATGATTTTCAATGGTTACATGTATATTTTTTTGAAAAAGTTTCAAACTCAATCTCGCAAACTGGATTTTTTCTTCCAAAGTACACATATTCTTAAATAAAATTCTCAAAATACACAAGTTTTATGAAAAATTCCCAATCTACATATGTTTTGGCAAAATCGCTGGAGTCAGACACGGTGAAAAGCATTATGGTGGCCGACTAAATTAAACACATCCCAACCAGCCCAAAAAGACATAATAAAAAAGAATGGATGTATAACAAAATGGATGTTGTTGCTTCAAGGCTTAAACCTCTGCACATGCACCCATCTGGCCTCTATATTTATTATCAATGATTACAAAAGTGCGATCTATATAATATCATTGACACATCTTGCCCAAGTACCATAAGTTCCATAACACAACAACATAAAAAAAAGATGATCAAAATGGTTCTTCTTAATTATTTGGGATTGGGAAAGGGCAATGAAATGAAATGAAATGAAAGGGTAATAATTGGAGACCTAAGGGGGGAGAAAGAGAGCTGGGGGGAATAGGGTGGAAGCCATGTGCAAAGGTCGAAGGTGGGCAAGTGCATGGCAGTAGCGTTGGAGCTTCCTCATGTATATATAAAAATGCAACTATACAAATTATGAAACTCCAAAAGACTACAATTCATCATTGGAATATATGTGACCATGATACACATATATCCTCCATTTTGCCTCTTTTTGGTACTTGTTTATTTGCAAGATTCTATTTAGTTTAATTATTCATGGAAACCATAATAATACTAATGACAGGGTCTCATTATAGGCATATATATTAATTTTGGAGAATCAATTTAATTATCTAGATAGAGAGATCGATGTAATTGGAGGATCATAATTGATTAGGAGCCCCCACATGGGGTTTTAGTTTTACGCATAAAAATCTCAAGTCGCCACCTACCGGGTATCATTACCTCATCACCTCCATTAATCATTTCACATGCATTCTTAGAATACTTCTCTCTTTACCCAGTAATTTTATTTTGTGTGGAAAAAGCTGGTGAAAACAGAAGACATGAAACATAAATAAACCGTAGAAATGGAAAGCAAAGATGCTACCGGTACCGGGAGTACTACTAGTACACAATTCCCACAAAAAATTCAGCTGATACATCTCATAATTCTAGTGAATTTTTTTGCAAGAATACACACGTTGTAAAACAATCTCAAAATTCACGCGTTTTATGCAAAATTTACAATCTACACATGTTTTGACATCACTGGGACCGTTGAATGCGGTGAACATCTTCATTGCTGCAGAGGAAAGTGGTGAATGCATCACCGCAATAGAGGAGCGCGGTGAAGGCGTTGTGCAGGCTTCACCGCAGCGAATGCCTAACCTAATGCTGAAACTTTAAACGAACATAACATTGCGCTCAGTTATCTGATCGTAGCGAATTTTTTTGATTCCGCATAAATTTTCGATATCTTTCAAACCGCAAGATCTAAAAAATTTATGCGGAATCAAAAGTTTTTCCGTTACGACCGGATAACCGAGCTAAAAGTTACGTTCGTTTGAAGTTTCAGCGTTAAGTCATGCCTTCACCGTGTTTCTCGACCGCGGTGAAGCCTTCACCGTGCGCTTCTGCCGCTGTGATGCATTCACCGCTATCCAATGGGAGCGATGAATGCCTTCACCGCGTCCGACGACACTGATGATGCCCAAACCGTGAGAAACATAATTATTGGGGGTCTATTTGTTATTTGCGTATTATTCGGATATTGTGCTAGGGTGGAAATTATGAGGGTTTATTCGGTTAGATTAATTATTCGGGTAGTAAACAGGAAATAGTCGGTTTATATATATGTTATGTTATGTTAGGTCAAGGGTAAGCAATAATACAGAATTGTTCCCAACTCTCTCTCTCACCTCTCACCTTGGCCGAACCCCCTTTCCCCTCTCATCACCGTCGGCGGCCTCCCATTCCGGGAACCCGACTCTGCCTTCTCTCTCACCCAATTCCCAATTCTTTCTCACCTAAATTCCCAATCCCTAACTCTTTCAATCCTTAAATCGCACGCCTAGATCCGTGATTCTCACAGTGGTATCAGAGCTTGGCTGGCGGGTTGATTATTGAACCCTGCAGAAGTTGAGGATGTCGAACATGGACAAGCCGCAGTAGCAGAAGCAGGGTAAGGAGATCGTGACCGTGAAAGACATAACGACGAACAAGTATGACACGATCGTCACGACGCTGGAAAGCCTAACGGAGTCCACGGAAAGAGCAGCTGCTGCTTCGCGAGACTCGACCGGGGCCCTAGAGGCGGTGGGAGGGCGCATCACCACCTCGATTGAGGAGATGGGCAAGGCAGTGACGGATCAGCTGTGCCGAGCTCTCGCGGACACGATGAAGGTGGTTCTGATCGGAGTGCTGCAGGGTCGTGAGCCAAACCCTGAGAACCGCCCTGCGGCGGTGGAGAAGTTGGCCGAGACGGTGCTGGTAGGGGCCGCGAAGGGCGCCGCGGCGGCAGGCGCAATGGGCGCCACGGCGGCGGCCGCGTCAGGCGGTGCGGAGGGAGGAACGACAGGCAGCGAGGCGGGAGGCCCCACCAAGGCCTCAGTGGCAGCTGGGGGCTCGAGCGGCGCCTCGGGGACGGCGGCCAGGCCGCCGGGGGTGACAGCCGGCAGGGGAGCGGCGGCGCCGGGAAGCGTGGCCGACGGTGGAGCTAGGGCGGCGGTCACGAGGCCGGCAGGGACGACATTTTCCTTGGGCCGAGGGCCGCCGGGGGAACGGGCAGTGGAGAGCGGGCCGCCCCAGCCTTCAGTGGGCCAGGCCTGCTGCCTGCCCCAACGACCCAGGAGATTGCGGAGGCCCGCGGGAAGAAGAAGCTGGTCGAGTTTGAAGAATTGGGCCTGGACTACGAGGAGATGAGTTTCGCGGACCAAGAAGAGTGGGAGATGAACCCGGGGCCCAATGGGCCCAACCAGGATTGGGTGGCTGACCCAATGTTGGACCCAGCGGGTCGACCGGTCGGGCCAGCTCCGATCAGACCGAGATGGGTCGAATCGAACCGGGAGGAACCGGGCCGAACCAAACCGAACCGACCCGGGGCGCTTCCCGCGAGGCAGCGGCTGGAATGGGTCGAGTGGCGGGCCCGGGCGCGAGAGACCAGGTCCCGAGTCCGGCTATCCGCCGTGGGGCACTCCACGAGCGGATTACGGCCGCGGGGGGCACAGGATGGAAGAGGGATAGGGATTCGGAACCAAGCCTGGCGACGAGGAAAACTATCAGCATGAGATGGCCGACTGGGCAAATTCGGAGAGGCGGAACGCGGACTCCGAGTACCGGCACTACGGGTCGGGTCGCT